GTCTTCTAGATAGTCTTAACATTAATTAGCTAATAGGTATATCTTAAAGTTCTTCTAGATATCCTTAACAACATTATTTATCAATTCATACTCTCAGTTCAACAATCATTTCATCCAGAATATTCGTCATCATTAATCCATAATATTCATAAAAATGAACAATCAATCAATCATCATAATAACTAATAACAATCAGCGGCCTAGCATCGAGTGTTAACACCCTAGCTTACTGTCATGCATCACATAAGATCCCTTTTAGTTGTTAAAATACCATCTTTATTCCAAAAAATCATCCTTTTATTAATCATAATGGTTTGGTATCAAAATATAGGATTCCATAACTCAAAAATCATGTTTTCTAAATAAAAATTGATTAACATATGATAGGAAATTCAATTATTAGCTATTAGCTTCATTTTCTTCAATAGTTAGTGTAGGGAGATAGTCTACTGTCACTTCTGATAATCTACTGTCTGATGTTCAGAATGGTCTGATAATCGATTATCACACTCTGATAATCGATTATCAAACTTCAGAGAGGGCTGACAATCGATTATCACATTCTGATAATCGACTGTTGCTCAGCTTTGTTACAAAAAATCTGCAGAACGATGAATAATCGATTTTCAAGTTGATAATCGATTATCCATCATCTTCTACCTCGAGTCAACTTGCGGAAATGTCACTTTTACTCACCAAACTTCAATTAAAGTATATAAAAGTGTTCTCCAAGGTTCATAGATCATTTTGGCATCATTAATTCATAGTTTTAACATCAAAATCATGGTTTATGATTCTTAGTTCTTCAAACATGTCAAACACAAAACTCAACCAAATGACCATTTATGAACGTAGAATCGATCTATATGAGCATTCTAGTCATTAGATATATCTACGGGCTTACCTCGAAGCTTAACGAAGGTTTTGGATATTTTCCGGCGAAACTTCCGGCGAGGTTTGTGGTTAGCTCCGCCGACTTCAACAACAATCAACAACACCAGACCATTCTCCTCACTCTCAGGATTTATATGGACTAATTTTGAGAAAAAATGATGCATGTTTGAAGGTTTTGAGTACTCCTTATATAGGAGTTGATGAAGGGGAAGAGGACATTATTGAACTGCTTCTACGTAGGAATCGGCTGAGTGGAGGAGGAGGCGCCGTTTGCACAGTGTCCCTGATTGGGACCAATTTTGGTTCCAGTCGGGATACACTTTTTGGTCCAACTTTCTCCGAATTGAATTCCGTTTGCACCGTTGCGATCGGGCAGTTAAACTCTATCTAACGATATAATTTTTATGTTTATTTGTAATACTTTTTCCGACATCATATTTTGACCTTAACAGAGTCAAAATTGGTTTAATTGACCTTTCTCATAAAAGGTTCTCTCATTTAATTCATATCAATTATTCTAATGATTTATTTTCAACAAATCAATTCAATATTTACATTCTAAACAAATTCTTTATTTACTCTTGATTTGGGTCTGTACTCAGGTTCCCAACCAAGACCACACAAATAGTCCACATATTGGATTTATCTCTATGAGACTTATCCAGATTTTGATATTAGATGTCAAAACAAATTTCGTATCGGCCTAAAGCCCAACAATAATTTATTTTAATCAAAACAAATTTGATTAATTGATTATTTATTCATTAATAATTCTAGGGTATATTTTGGGGCGTTACAAGAACCTTGTGGATTCCTTAAAATGTCCAGGGGAGTTAAACAAGGAGACCCCCTATCCCCCCTCCTTTATATCATTGCAGGTGAAGGACTTAGTAGGCTGCTCAATCACTATGCTGACACTAACCACCTTCAAAGATTCAATGCAGGTAGTGTCAGATTCCCTAGCCACCTCATTTATGCTGATGACCTTATGATATTCACCAAAGGAGACACGAGGAACCTCCTTAAACTTAAAAACATTTTAGGAGAATACCTGCAAGCATCAGGGCAAGAGATCAACTTCTCCAAAAGCAGATTCTACACTTCCAGAAAGACTCACTCAGCTCAAATCCAGAATATGGAGAAAGCACTAGGTATGAAACATGGAGAACTACCTTTTCTCTATCTGGGAGCAACACTCAACAGGGGCAAACCAAAAAAGGAAGACTGCTCAAGACTGGTGGAACACTTTCACAAGCATTTGCTCTCTTGGTATAGCAAAACACTCAATCAAATGGGTAGACTGGTTCTCATCAAGCACGTCCTATCTTCCATTCCCCTTCATATTCTGGCCGTGCAAACCATTCCCAAATCCATATCCAATTCCCTTCATTCCTTAATGGCTAACTTCCTCTAGGGGCAAAAGAATGGGAGACCAAAGTACCACTCGAGAAACTGGAATCACATCTGTCAACCTAAACAAGCTAGGGGTCTTGGCACTCGCAACCTTGAGAAAATACAACAAGCTTATTCTCTGAAGCTATGGTGGAAAGCCCAAAACGATCAGAGTATCTGGGGTCCCTTTGTTAGAGAAAAATATATGAAGTCTAGATCAATCAAAGAGAAAATAACAGATTCTCCTTCATGGAAGAGGATATGCAGGGTTCATGCCATAGGGTCATCTCACACTCACACCTCGGTAAGAGGCACAACTTGGGATGGGGGTTCTTTCCGTCTTGGCAGAGCCTACAAAGCTGGAGAGGAAAGCTTACCCACCACCATTACCAGCAAGTTCATTTGGCACAAGACACAAATTCCCAAAATCAAGATTTTCCTTTGGAAGTGCCTAAACAAATCTCTCCCTTTCCCGAATAATCTAAGACGCTTCAATCTAGCCCTCACTAGCAGATGCAGCTTAT